TATCTACTATCATATAATTCTACTTGCAGGAGAATGTTTATCTCATCTTATTTATCTCTTTATACTGACTTATACCATACTACTATTCAAGTATTATTTTTTATATTGTAAATATTTTTTATATTTGTTGGATGTTTTGTATCGATAGGATAGAAATTAAAAGGAGATTTATTTAAAGAGTCTCGATGGCCAAGACATTCAATCAGACACGTAAAAAGTTAAAGATACTTAATAAAATGAAATTTGAAGCTTGTGGTTTAAAAAATGGAATGGAAGGACTGCACTCATTTGTTGAATATAAAACAACATAACATGAGGCTGACACCTAAGGATAGTAGATACACAGGACAGATAGATTGCTCCCTAGCTGGAAGCCTGACTCATGAACAAAGGGGAGAAGGCAGCTGAAATGCAGAAAGGATCACTAAGAAGAAGATGGCCGGAGGAATCGGTCAGGATGGGAGATGTGTGCAGAAAGTAGATAAAGGACCAAACACGATAACCTCTCAGCGTCTGTATTGCAAACCATAATGCCCCAAAGTAGAGAGAGATTATGGGGAATCATGTCTGCCATGGAGGCAGAGGGAGGATGGCAAAGGGGGGTTATACCGGGGATATTGGTGGTGGGGAATGTGTCCTGGTGGAGGGGTGGGTGTTCGATCATTGTGTGATTGTAACCCAAGCATGAAAGCTTGTAACTATCTCATGGTGATTCAATAAAATGTAAAAAATTAAAAAATAAATGGAATGGAGAGGACCAAAGATGTAATGCAAGGGTGAAGGCCCAGGTTCAGTTCCCAGCACTGCATATATTTCCTCAGTCCAGGCCAGGAGTGATCCCTGAGCACAGAGCCTAGAGTAAGCCTTGAGCTCAGCCAGTTGTGCTTTCCCAACCTCTCCTCCCCCCCACCTCGGCCCGGCCCCAAGTGTTAAGGAAGGAGAACATAGAAGAGGCAGGGCCAGCACATCCCTCAGCCTGGCTAGGAACAGCAAAGCCATCATTACTATGGTAGGAGGAAGTGAATAACAGATCACGCCCTCTTTGAAACTTGGCAATTCGCTAAGTTACTTTAGGATATTTTTACCCCTCCGACATAAGCCAAATTGTTTATACAGGTTTTCAAACTGCATCATTGCATCCGATGTGTTCTTTCCATCCTTTCTTCCAGGCCCCCCTTTTCCCAGTCTTAAAACTCTCTCAAAGGTTATCTCTTCCTTAGCTTCTCCTTCCTCTGTCATCCAAAGACACCTTTGACAGCAGGAGCATGATCTTGGCTTAGCTTCCTGCTTATTGCCTATGAAGCTTCTGCCCCTTTAGAGTGGACAGTAGTGGCCATTTGCATAGCCAAGGACCCAGCCCCTGAAATTCATTTGGGTTAAGATCAGGCGTTTGTTTGGTTTGGGCTCATTCTCTTGCTTTGGGCTCCTGTCCCCCCCCCCCCCCCCCTTATAGTGGATGCGCATGTGTGAAACTCAAATAGCACAACCAAAGGCATGCATTAACTGTCTTAAAGCATTGTTGCTTTTAATTGCTTTTAAACAACCCATTTAATTCTACCTTAGAGCCATTTGTTGGTCTTAGATTTGATTGCAGATTGAAACAATTAGCTACAGATGGAGGGAAATGTTTGTTACCAAAATTTTCTTTATCTAAGCTGTCCTTCATAAAGGAAAGAATGCTGCATCCCCAAAGAAAAAAACAATTTTGTTGTTTCTTTTGGGGCCACACCCAGCAGTCTGGTTCTGCTCTGGGGATTATTCCTAGTCCATATGGGACACTAGGGGTCAAATCCAGGTTGGCCATATGCAAAGCCAGGGCCCAATCTGCTGTACTATTGTCTGACCCCCAAAGAAATTTTTTGTCTGATTTACTGTTTTTGCTTGGACATTCATATTTGAAAAAATGCTAATTCTTACTGCATTTGATTCTCCCCCCCCCCACCTTTTGCACTATACAGCTACAACAGTAGTGGTTATTCTAGACCACTGTCCAAAAGAAATTTAATTTGAGCCACAATATAAATCACATATATAATTTAGAAAATTTAGTGACCACACAGAAAAAAATAGGGAAAGCAACAGGTAATATTAATTTTAATCATGTTAATTTTATCCATTATGGTCGTTTCAATCTATAATAAGTACAAAACATAACAGTATAATATTTACATTATTTTAAAGTTTTCAAAATGAGGGGCGTATTTTACACTTATTGTAGATTTAGATTTGAACTTAAGTAGCATTTCAGGAGGTACATTCTAGTTAATGACCATTCACTAAATCTTTCCTGTGTATTATGGGTTTGACATGCATCCATTAAAATAATCTTCCAACTGTGCTGCAGTAAAGACTACTAAATCTATTTGACAAATGAACAAACTGATATTTAAAGGGTTTAGGTTCTTTTGCTTAGGACCGTAGTTGGCAGCAGAGGAGCTGAGACAAAGCTATAGGGCTTTATTTTTTTTGCTTTTTGGGTCACACCAGCGATGCTTAGGGATTACTCCTGGTTCTTCACTCAGGAATTGCTCCTGGCGGTGCTCAGGGGATCATACGAAATGCTGGACTCGAACCTGGGTTGGCCACATGCAAAGCAAATGCCCTGCCTTATGTGCTATTGCTCCAGCCCCCAAAACGATAGAGCTTTGACTTCAAATACAGTGCACTGAATTTAAATGAAAGCCATGGGGCAGTATAGAAAATTCTGGAATACTTTTGAGAAAATATACAACAGATACAGCAGGTGGTGAGCCACAGGTCACAGAGTGTCTGGAACTATGTTTAAACAACATGTTGAAGTAGAAGGGGTGGAGGAAGAAGCATAACTGGTTTACCCATTCAGACTAGCACCCACATTCCTCGGAGTTCATTTCTTCCTTACAAATCTGTGCAACCATTTGATTACCACATTCTTAGAACACAGAGACTTCGTTCCTTCCATTTAATCGTCCATCTGCTACACGAAGTTTGGGTAAAAGTGTATGTTTATGGTGACTGGTATGAATTAAGGCAAGAGTGTCTGAATAACCCTGATGCCATGGCTTTGTTATAAAGGTCTGTAAAATATTATCCTGGTGTCATGGATTATATAAATGTGCACAAATGGCAGTTTCCTCCTTTTCCTTCACACAGTGTTAAAAAAAATGAGTAAAATATGTTTCCCATTGCACTTCCCTTGTGCTTGGGGACTAAATGAACTCATTTTCAGTTTCCACGTCTTTATAAAAATGTTTTGTTTTTTTACTGAAATATGTTTTTGATCAAGAACATAATTTCATGATTGCGTGTATGTTTCTGAAACAAATATGTATATGAAACAAGTGCACGAAAGAGGGTCCAAGGTCTGGTGGCTGAGTCTAACAATTGGGGTTTCTTCCATGAAACCTCAGTCTTATCCTGAAGTTATTAGATGATTTAAGAGAAGGAAGCAACATGTGTCCTTACTAACCAATCTCTTGTTTGGTTGTTTTCTGATTTCTGGATGTGAAGAACTGGAAATATAATTGAGCAGTTTCAATAACTTTCTTAAGCTGAAAAGAAACCATTCAAAGTAATGGAATGTTGTAATGTCAGATGAGTTTCACGAAAGTGGTAGTACTTTTATAATGCTTTGAAGCCAGAGCTCATTTTTTTTCAACTGCTTTACTAAATTTTGAGATACCCCCTTGTGACTCACTTTCTTCCTGCATCCTAAATTTTGTGAGACAGGTAATAGAATATATAATCTCTTTAATAAGGTCAATTTTATCATTGATACATTGACTTGTATTTAAAGAAAACTTACTGAATCCTTTATGAACTGTACACTTGAACTGATCTACATTCATAATAATCACTGTCACTGTCACTGTCCTCCTGTTGTTCATCGATTTGCTCGAGCAGGCCCAGTAACGTCTCCACTGTGACAATTGTTACTGTGTTTGGCATATCGAATACATCACGGGGAGCTTGCCAGGCTTTGCCATGCGGGCTTGATACTCTCGGTAGCTTGCCAGGCTCTTCGAGAGGGGCAGAGGAATCGAACTCGGGTCAGTCATGTTGGCCGCTTGCAAGGCAAACGCCCTACCCGCTGTGCTATCGCTCCAGCCCATTCATAATAATAATAATTTATGTTTCAAAAACACTACTTAACCTTTTATGAAGTGTTTTACTTATAGCTCACTTAATTCTCATGACAGGAGAGTAAATATTATTTCTATTGATCAGCTCAATTTCACTAGATACCCAGCATTGAAATTGTGGAGTCACCATGTTTAACTTTATATTCCAGGTAACAATGTGAAGAGTTTCCAATTTCTTCAATCCCTTGCTAACATATATTTTGTATTTTTTAAATTATTCTAGACAGTGTACCTCATTGTAGCTTATTTACATTCCTCAGATAACTAAGTTACATTGATCATTTTCAAGTTTCTTATTGTCCCTTTGGATATCCTCTTGGAGAAATGTTTACTTGATTCCTTTGCTCACTTTTTATAGGTCTGTCTTATCTGTTATTGATTTGTAAGAATTATGTCTATTTTCTATATAAATGTAACTAATCAGATTGAGAATATTTTCTCCACTTGGTAGGTTTGACAGATGTTCTAATAATATCCTTTGATGCACAAAAGCTTTTAATATTACAATATTATTTATATATTTCATCAATTAATTTTGTTAATTTGTCTATAGTTTTCCTTTTGACTTGGGGGTACTGGCAGTGCTCAAGGCTTACTTCTGCCTCTGCCTCAGGAATAAATTCTGCTTGCACTCAGGAGTCATGTGACATGCCAGGGACTGAACTCCAGTTTCATCCATGTTATAGAAAAAGGAAGGATTTTGTTTCTTGTAGCTAATATTCCCATTCTTATTTAAATGCATACAAATGTGTATTTAAATATAACATATAATTTATATATATTTGCACATCTTCTTTATACACCAGGTTGTTGATTTTTGTATATGACGTAAGCTAAGCGCCCTGTTATTCTTATTTACACTCCTGCTTTCCTTTCTAGGAACCCTTGACATCAAGGGACTTCATGTTTTTAACCTGACTTCTCTAACCAAGTCTGAAAACATTTTATCTGCCACGCTGTACTTCTATGTTGGGGAACTTATAAACATCAGCCAGACTTGCCCCATGCCTCGAGGATGTTCGCATCACGGTTTGAGGAAACACATCCAAATTGATATCTCTGCATGGATCCTCAAGTCCAACAGAAACCAAAGTCAACTTCTCGGTAATCTTTCAATAGAGAGAGCCAAGCCTCACCGAGACTTTGTGTCCTGGCTGTCTAAAGACATCACTCAACTTTTGAGGAAAGCCAAGGAAGATGAGGAGTTCCTCCTAGGATTTAACATTACCTCAAAAGGACACCAGATGCCAAAGAAGATGCTACCATCTCCTGAACCTTATATCTTGGTGTACGCCAACGATGCTGCCATTTCTGAGCCAGAGAGTGTTGTATCCAGCCTACAAGGACACCGAAGTTTCCCCAGTGGAGCCATGCCCCAAATGGGTAGCCACATCAGGGCAGCCCTTTCTATTGAACGGAGGAAGAAACGTTCTACGGGGGTCCTGCTGCCTCTGCAGAACAACGAGCTTCCCGGCGCAGAATATCAGTATAAGGAGGACGGCGCCTGGGAGGAAAGAAAACCTTACAAGACGCTTCAGACGCAGCCTCCTGAGAAGAGTAAGAGCAAAAAGAAACAGAGAAAGGGACCCCACCAGAACGGCCAGACCCTCCAATTTGATGAGCAGACGCTGAAGAAGGCAAGGAGAAAGCAGTGGATTGAACCACGGAATTGTGCCAGGCGATACCTGAAAGTCGACTTCGCAGATATTGGCTGGAGTGACTGGATTATCTCCCCCAAATCCTTTGATGCCTATTATTGCTCGGGAGCATGCCAGTTCCCCATGCCTAAGGTAACCAATGTTCTCTGTCCCATATTTCCTACTTCCGTTGACTCAACTGAGTATATGTTTTCATTTACAAAGCCCATCTGGACCTTTATTTATTGCTTTCTAAAGTATGGTAAGTACTGTGGCTATGTTTGGTTTCTCTTTAATGGTTGTTAAAATAATATAGCAAAAATGTATGCATAACGTTTGTCTTGTATTGCTTCCAAACAATGTGCATATTCAGCTATGCGAGCCCTGTGTGACTCTACACCTGTCCAGAGTAAGCAATCCCCAAGCTGATCTTTGAGGGAATATTTAAGGAATGAATGGATGTCAGGGGAGCACAGGGAGGGACTAATTGGATTGATGCCTTGATGCAGAACATTTTTTTCTATGTCTAGGGTTTCTTGTGAAATGAATTTTTCCCACAGGGTTCAGGATGAAGGTTGAGCCAGGTAAATTTTCCTCATGGAATCCAGCAGCTGCTTAATTCATTTACTTCTCTGATAAACATCAAAAAGGAAGAACCAAAAAATAAATAAATAAAAGCCGCTCCGTGAAACTTTTCCACTTCAACAACTTAGTGCTTCCCTGTATCTCTTCCAGAATCAGTAGGAACTGCACTTTCTCCTGACAACATGTTTTCAAAAGGCTCCTGGGTCCCCATCCCTATCCTGCAGGGAAAGTCCAAGTGACTGTTTTATTTGAATTTAGAGTTGTAAAATATAGTGATGGTCTCTGCCTTTCAGCTAAAGCTACTGCTGCATTTTTCTTCTCATCTTGTAACAGTTTGAATCTTTTACAAAGAAAGTCACTCTAGAAAGAGCGTTCACAGAAAAACAACTTTTCCTTCTCCCAAACTTAAAAATAATAAACGTTTGCTGTTATATGATATGTAAAAAAATCCTATGCCTCAAAAAAAGACCAACTTCTGTTTCCAGATAATTAAAACAAACATGCTTTAATCCTGTGATCATTGTAATTTGGACATGCATAAAGCAAAAGGCCCACTCAGTAAGGCCAAAGGAGGGCCAGATTGCCTGAACACCTTAGCATTTGAAGGAAATCCCTTTTTTTTTTACGTGTGAATGTCTCAATAAGACAAACTTTTCATATTTTCCTTTTTCTTTCCAAGTACTTTTCCACATTCCAAATTTTATAAACCAAACACAGTGCAAAGAATACATACATTTATAATTTTATGAACAACTTTATTTTAAATATGGTTCCTTTTTTTCAGGAGGAGAAGCACACAGACCTGTGATTAGGGATTACTCCTGTCTCTGTGCTCAGAGTTTACTGTTGAAGGAGCTAAAGGGTCCAGGGATGGAACCTGCGTCAGTAGCATATAAGGCTTGACCCTCAGGGCTACCTCTCTAGTCCAGTAGATTTTTTCTAAATATCTGTAAGGAATATTATTTTGTCTACATATTTATGAAGGACATTTTATTAGTCAGACCAAACTTACCCAGTACCTTCATGTGTGCGGAGAGTGGTCTCAGCATGGTGGTGGCTGGTCCTGGAGGTCTTTGGCTGCCGGAGCCCTGGTCGGGGCGGGGAGGAAAGCTCAACCCGCTCCCCTCCAAGGGGCTCCGGGAAGGAACACCCAGGCGCGGGGGCAGAAGACTGCACTGTTCTCGTCCGGGATCTGGATTTTATAGTCTCTGAGTCTTGGCCGCTGGTGGGATTACACAGCGCCAGGGGGCCAGGTGGTGGGTGTGACCCCCGCCTACTGGAATTTGGAGGATCTGGGTGGAAGATGCTCGACTCCAATTCGAGTAGGCTTGGAGGTCTCGGCCCCGGAACCCGCGTGGCTTTGTCCCTCTGCCTCAGGGTGGTCAAGACTCAGAGACTATAAAATCCAGATCCCGGATGAGAACAGTGCAGTCTTCTGCCCCCGCGCCTGGGTGTTCCTTCCCGGAGCCCCTTGGAGGGGAGCGGGTTGAGCTTTCCTCCCCGCCCCGACCAGGGCTCCGGCAGCCAAAGACCTCCAGGACCAGCCACCACCATGCTGAGACCACTCTCCACACACATGAAGGTACTGGCAGAGGGACAAAGCCACGCGGATTCCGGGGCCGAGACCTCCACGCCTACTCGAATTGGAGTCGAGAATCTTCCACCCAGATCCTCTAAATTCCAGTAGGCGAGGGTCACACCCACCACCTGGCCCCCTGGCGCCGTGTAATCCCATCAGCGGCCAAGACTCAGAGACTATAAAATCCAGATCCCGGAACCGCGCGGCCGCATTTGTGGCTGCGCGACATCTTATAGAACTTTTTTTTTTTATGACATCTTATTGTCTCATTCCTACTTTGGACAAAACTTGCAGGCTATAGAATGTAGCCTGCCCACAGGGCAGAGTCTGGCAAACTCCCCGTGGCGTACCAAATATGCCAAATACCAGTAACAATGATGGGTCTCATTCTCCTATATAGCCTTGAATATAATCTCAGGTCTAGGATGAAAGAGACGTTACTGGGGCCTGCTCGAGGCAATCGACGAATAACAGGATGATGAAATGAAATGAAATGAACTTACCCAGCTTAAAAACACAACCAAGATGTCAGAACCCAGGAAACCTGAAGGACCAATTTCAATGAGTCTTTAAGTATTTAAAACAATTGCTCGTACTCTCCTAAACTGTAATTTCTTCTGGTCACCCTGAGGAGATCTTTCACTCCCACCACCGCTCGCCTCCATATCCCAGGACATAGGAATTTGTAATAATGCAGTGATACCAAATTGCTAAGCATCTTACTCATGCTCTGGAGCACAAGCCTGCAACCCTGCTCTCTTATCCCAATTTACTCTTCCTTTCTCTACTTAGCTGTTATTGATTAAAACATCACTGTTGCTTCAGTAGATTTCATCATGGCTCTTGGTGATATATATAAAATACACTTAGAAACACATGTAGAATAACTTTAGAAAAACAGACACTAACCTATGAAGTATAATAGTGCAACAGAACCCTTAAATGTTCCCATTTGCCTTACAGCTGGGTTTCTTAACCTTAATCTTCTGGCAAATTGATTGGGAATCTTATTAGTATATAGAGGTCCTGCGGGATGGACATAAGATTCTACTAACAACCTCCAAAATGTTGATGCCACCACTGGCCCGTAAATGGCCTTGTGTGGCAAAAGAAGAGTCAAATCTTTTCATCTTGATCTTGTTTTTACCAACAATGGTTTTGGGTGTCACGTACTCAAACTCCGTGTTAGTTTTCCCAATCTAGTAATAAGTATAGTAGTAAAGTATTCTTTTAAATCTTCGTAATAAAAACAGTGGGAAACAGAATTAAAAAAACACCTTGAACATGGCCGTACATAAAACAGTCTGTTCTTGTCATTCCTAAGGGCCATTGTTGAGACTGAGAATAGAAAATTAAATGGAGGATGGGTGAATAAATCCCACATAAGAAAGGGATCAAGAGAATTAAAGATGTCCAACAAGAAAACGTTTTGAAAATGCTTCTAGTCCCCTTCGAAATATCACAAAGTCCAAAATAGAATTCTCTCTGTGGATTCAATGGCCCATAAGCCCTTCCAGTTATGTTTCTTTGGAGAGCAATACCATAGAAGAGCATCAGCTGCAGCCACTGAACTCATCATAATATTTGTCAAAACTTGGAATGGCATCAGAACTCCAGGGAGACATAGCAGGGAGAACTGTGGCGGTTTCTCTGTGAGCTGGAGATTTCCTTCTGCCAAGTTGAGAGTGGAAGTTTGGCTGTTACCCGGAGTTCTCCGTCTCTCATCACCTTGTGTGGATCTGCTAAACTTTTAAAGTCTTCGAGTGCTTCCCTTTAAACCTTCTAGCTTGTGACTCTCAAGTGGTCCAGTGGCGAAAAGGATGGAGAAGGGGAAACAGTATGAAACTGCTACCAGACAGGTAGGGAATAAGCATCACTGTTATCCACCCCCCCCCCCAACATGGTAACCAGAGTGAACTCTTTCCATAAAAATATAGTCTGAGCAACAGAGCAAAATAAGATCTCTGACCAGATCAGTACAAACACATGTGGAAGAGTTGAGGTGCCAAAGAACTTTCAAACTTTAGATATACATTTTGCCCCGAAGTGAAGTTCTCCCAGACGCATTCTCCTATTGGCCCACCTTCCTGCTGGCCTCCTCCGCGAAGCCTGCTCACTATGGTAGAGCGCTTCGGTCTGCAAAAGTTGACAACCTGTTCTGTAATTTAGAACAGCTGTGCTCTGCCTTTCCCAAATTCCAAGCTTTGCCCTTTCACTGATTCCAATTAGATAGTTTCTGGGCTATCACACCCATGTGGGCTGGACTGGAGAAGAGAACGGAGCAAAGCCCCATGGCCCAGGTCAGGAATGAAAGCTCTGAGCTCATGACATACTCTCCCCTGCTAATGCGTTTGTAATCAAATTCAACTTGAGGACATCGTCTGCAGCTTGGCAGGTGCACGTCTGACCACTGCAGATTTCATTCACAGGCACAGAGGTTGGGGTTTTTCTGATTTCTAGCCTCTCAACCCAATCTGCTGTCCCAGGGAGAGAGAGATCTTTGGAATTCTGCCATGAAGTGAAAAAAAAATACCCGTCTAGCGAAAGCCAAGTCATATGCATTTGCCTCGCCTCACCACCCCAGCAAATATGGAAACCAGAGATTTCAAGTGAAAAGGACTGAGCCGTTGTTGCTGACACAGATCCAAGAGACCCAACACGGATTAGAGGAATGAAGTTATTTTTGCATGGAATGGTGCAAACACTATGAATAGCAAAGACACCGAATTAGGCACCGAAGAATCTAAACACTGAACCAAGTGTCCCACAGAAAGAAGAAATTCACATTTCGTTACTTTAAGATGGTACAGCCTCCATGTTCCATCTCCTATCTCTCCGAGTCTTCTGGTTCCCGAAGGTGAATGATAAAATTCATAAATCTTGCTGCACTGCGGTTCCTACTCCAAAGAGTCCCTAAACTAATATAAAAGGAATGTTTCAAGTTCCATAAAAGAGGGACTGGTGAGGGAAATAGCTTTTGTTGTTCACTTAGCATTCTCAGCTATAAGACAGCTTGTCTTAAGAAACATGATTTGAAGTCGAAAACAAAAATCACGGACCGAGAATATGCTTCAAACTAGCAAATTACTGCATGAATCTTTGCTGCATGACATAATTATTCCTGGTAATGTCAGCTTGATCAGAGGATTCCATAGTGAGGAAAGAAGGGAGAAGCTTCCCGGAGGGCCGAGAGGTTCTTGATAAGAGGCACCAGGCCTTGCGCCTGATCCCAGCAGTCCATCAGGAACTGCCCTCGATCGTGAAGCTATCACTTGTGAGTTACAGCCCTTTCCAAAAAGTCAGGAATTTTCCTAGGGAACACCCTTGAATATTTTCCATATCTATGCTGGGTCATTTGCACAGAACCTTTTGTTTTTGTTGATGGGAATTATTTTCTTCAGAAAGAGGGAAAATGGAGGGTATGCCACTCGTCTTTCAAATGGGTCTATTCGGTGCATTTGCTCAGTTTTTACAGCAATTTCCCAAAGTCAGTAATACCACCTCCCAGACCCTAGGTGCTGAAACCATCCATGGGAACCTCTGGTATAATTACAGAATGTTCTCTGTTCATTTAAAGGAGGTAGATTTCCAGGGGGTTGCTGTGTAGTTTTTTTCTTGAAAGGGTATGTGTGGGGGGCACAAATAAGTTTAGGTATCTAAAACTTGCGGTGCTCAGGCACTAAGAAATAGTTGTGCAGGGAATTTAAGAATGAAGAACTCATCTTCTTCAGTAACTCTACTTCCTAGGAAACGTAAATGCTATAGGAATCATTAAAATAATCAATAAAATAATGTGGAGAAGTCTGTGGTTTAAAAAAATCGTTTGGGGTTTCAAAAGCTCTTTGAGTCTTAAGAACAACTTGAAATCAATAAAGAAAGTAGATTTTCATTAGAAAGTACTAACAAAGTAACATTATGGCTATTAGTCTTTACTGTTTAATATAGAATCCAACTTGGGTCAATTGCCTATGTTTTGTTAATTTTGCATGGTGCATGTAAAATAGAAAATATATTGATTTCTCTTTTTCAGGGGGAAAATGCCTAGTTTGAAAGCTAATTAGTTGAAAGTTAATATTTTTTTAAACAAATACTTACAATTCCTAGACAATGAACTTTTTTAAAAGGCAGTCTATTAAGTTGACTTTTAAGAATTTTATAGCCCTTTACAAAAAAGTTGAGGTCTAATTTATTTTACTTTTTGTCATTAAAATTGAAAGATAGTATGAGACAAATCCAACTGTTTGTCTTCTCTGCCAAAGAAAGGCATTATATTTTTTAACAGTATGCCAGCTTTCTTTATTATTTACTTCTCTTTTAGCTTGGTGTGTGCCCTTCTTCCTTTAACTTCTTCCAGTTCCCCATACTAAGTGTTTAGAAGTAAGAAATTAAAGTACCTATTCACCGGGGCAGAGGTGTTTCAGAGCCATGAGCAACATGGTTCTGTATCCTGAAATTAAAAAGCCAGAGCTTTGGCTGAAATCCCACTACTGAAATGACATGTGACCTCTGGCAAGATACCAAATTTCTGTTTCTGAATGTGTTTAAAACAAAACTGGTTTCACCTGCCTAAAAGAGACTTTGGGGGAAAATGATGAAAAGTATGGCATCTCTCAAAACAGTTTCTTAACCATTCTGGCAATCCCTAAACATTCTGGGCTTGGAAAACTGACTGTCAGGGAGAGTTGAGCTGTGTGGCATTCCATCTAAACAAAACCACATGTTTCGCCTGGACGTTAATGGTCCCATTTGGCATTTTCTAGCAACAGATTTTACTCAGGCTCCTTGGGTCAGACTTCTGATATTCATGGGATAACCTTAGACCGCCTAGATTTTTCCCAAAGGACCTGGCCCACTCTTTGAACACTTGCAATTCTAATGGATTTGAGTCTCAACACAGAGTAACAGTGACCCCCAGTGGCCAATTCTGTAGCCCTCCTAACCGTAGCTACTACTTACTTCCGAGGAGACCTAAGGGCAGAGTGGAGTAATTACCAACCAGTTTTTCCTGGTAACAGTTATTCAGTAAATCAATGGTCATTGGCACACTTAGCTGTGTTTTAACAACCAAATACAAATATTACTATTGAGATGTCAATGCTTTATTTGTGTTAAGTACATGTTAGAATTGAGAACAAACGTTTTTGGCTGCAGTTTAAATATTCTATAATGGAGATCAAGATTACTTTAGAATATGTTAAACCCTTGTTTGGGCATTAAGTTATTTTTTAATTTATTTATTATTTTGGCCACACCTGGAAATGCTCAGGGGTACTTCTTGGCTCTGCACTCAGGAATCTCTCTTGACTGTGCTCAGGGCATCAAATGGGATCCCAGAATTGACTGAACTCAGGTTGGCCATGTCTAAGTCAAGTACCCCCACTGCTGTACTATCACTCTAGCCCTGCGATTAAATTGTTTTTAATTAGGTCTTTCTGAGCTAACCAAAGCCAGATCCTCATTCTAGCATTTTTTTAGCTGTTTGACTTCAGACAAATCATTTAAGCTTTTAAAATATATTTCTTCACTAATACAATGTAGGAGGGGCAACTCCTTTGTAAGTGTTAGAGACGTGTCTAGCATGTTTAGCATGTAGCACGTACTCAATAAACGGCAAATGGTCACCATATAAGTGATGGTGGTACCAGAGATTGTGCTGAATGTGTAATGATGTCAGTGCTTTATTATTGAAATGAATTCCTTAGGGATGCATATTAGTGATGCATAAATGTATCACTTTTCTCTAAAAGAAAACAGTTCGCCTAATATACGTGTTCTCCCATTTCTTTTTCTAGTCTCTGAAGCCATCAAATCATGCCACCATCCAGAGCATAGTCAGAGCTGTGGGGGTCGTTCCTGGAATTCCAGAGCCTTGCTGTGTTCCAGAAAAGATGTCATCACTCAGTATCTTATTCTTTGATGAAAATAAGAATGTGGTTCTTAAAGTATATCCTAACATGACAGTAGAGTCTTGTGCTTGCAGATAACCTGGCAGAGAATTTGTTGGAAATCTTAATTCAATCATTAGTTTATTTTTATGGACTTTTGTTTTGCACTGCCAATGCATTTCATTTCAAGGGATTTTTTAACAGTCAAAAGAGACCAAGCAAATCGACTGCTAATTTCCACCAACCAGAACTAGACTGTATTCGTTTCCGAATGTAACTTAAAGCGAGATTTAAGTAAATATGAACATATATTTCTCTTCCTCAATCAAACATGAAAAATTTACTTAAATGTTTTTTAGAACTGTTAAAAAGCACTGATTTATTTTTATATTGGGATTTGAAAATTAATTGAAAACACTATAATTTATCATTTATCTCTACTCTTTACAGGATAATTTTGTATTTAAAGTAGGTGAACTGCCTTAAATTCCTAAAAATAAAAAAGAAAGAAAGAAAAAAAGAAAACAACTCAGCAAGTACTAAACAAATGCTAAATAATCCAATCAACATTACTGTTTCTTTTAGAAAGTTTGAGTCTGTTTACCTGTGTCTCTTCCTCCCACCTTGCATTGAGTTAAAAGTTGAGTGAAGAATGTGTGCTGTGCCTTGGTGTATCTGTGAACATACATTGTCAGATTCGTATGCCCTTAGTAGGAAGGTAGGTTTGCTTGATATGCTTTTATAATGTAGTCTACACAGAATTTTTTTCCATGTCATGTTCTGGCCAGCACCATTTGATTATGAGAAGTTTACCAAAAATGATAGAGTGTTTCAAGAGCATATGCAGAGAGTTACCACTTGGCCCAGACAGTTAATTGGAAATACAGTTGTTTTCATTTCTTTGCCTCCCAGAAAAGGAATCCAACAATGCAGTTTTCAAAAACCCAGATGTAGTTCCTATTCTATACCTCATCTTCATAAGAACACTTAGTTAACTTGAGTTCAAGAATTATTCCGGAAGCTTTTCCATTTTTATTTTTCTATGACTTTACTTCTTGTGAAGAAACAATAGGTATCAAGCCTCAAGAACTAAGGGAATATTAGACACTTCTTTGAGTGTCCTATTTAATAACAATCATAGGTTTATTATCAATCTTTACTACAACCAGATTCAGGTACTTCTTCACACAGATTAAGACTTTTAGTTCATCAATAGAAACCATCTTTGGCATGTTTAGCACCAAAACTTGTTCACCAAGAAAGGCAATCACTATAGATGTTTTAGGGAGTTTTGTCCCATTTTGATTTGCTTAAATATCTCCTCACACTTTTGCCCTTGAATATGTTTCAAAAATCATTCACTCACTTTATTTACATATATGTATGACATAATTTTTTCAAACCATGGATTGTTTTTGATGTTATATCTGTGGTTAATAATCACTTTTTTTTAATATCAGCTCTTTAAAGACAAGCTATTTTATAGGCTGTGAAATATCAAAAGACATGGGATTTTGTTCTGTCTCTGCCTATTGTTACTATAGTTGTTCAAAATTTAATAAATATTTATTGAGCATATATTTTGCAAAAGACACTGTGTTAAGTCTGTGTCTTTAGTGGTAAGATGTACAGGCTGACTGATTGAATTGGAAGGTCATTTTAGCACTGAAAGTTTGCGTTTAAAATATTAGCTATTTGTACACATCTTCCTTGAACGGATGAGAGTAATAACCCCAAACATTACAAGTACCTCTGTCCATAAATATCCTGTTCTTCAGTGTTTGTACGTTGCATCCTCTTTGGCTGAAGCGGCTTTTTTGTATTGTTGAAAAGAAAAGAAAAATCCCATGAAAAAGAATCTAGCACTTAGGTGTAAGAAAAGTCTGCATGAGTGTGTGTTAATTCCATGAAAGAAACACTCAGCTCTAAATAGCACTGCACTGCATTGTCCTCGCGTTGTTCATCGATTTTGCTCGAGTGGGCCCAGTAACGTCTCCATTTTGAGACTTGTTGTTACTGTGTTTGGCATATCGAATATGTCACCGGTAGCTTGCCAGGCTTTGCCATGCTGGCAAGATACTCTCGGTAGCTTGCTGGGCTCTCCGAGAGGGGCGGAGGAATCGAACCCAGCTCGGCCAGGCTGGCTGCATGCAACGCAAATGCCCTATCACTGTGCTATCACTCCAGCCAAACTCAGCTCTAAATAATTCATTAAATATTGGTGCCTGAATTACTGCAACTTCTAAGAATTCACTTTTTGTTTCGGTAACATAAAATTGCAGATTCAAAGTGAAGTAGATGACACCAGCACCTTTGAATAGATTTCATCAAAAATTCGAATGCAGGTCTAGAGATACATTACTCTAGCTGAGGCACTTACCTTGCCGGTGGTTAAACCTAAGAATGGTTCCTTGAGCACCACCGGAATTGACCCTTGAGACCAGAGCTAGAAGCAAGTCCTGAATACTGCCAGGTATGTCCCCACAAAAGTAAAAAACAATCACATCAAAATTTGAATGCAGAGATATATAACAGAAGTATGTCAGCACATGGCCATCTTACAATATGTTAAGAAAAAACACTTTCAGTGCAAAACTATTGTTTTTCATTGGCAGATTTGATGAAATTTTTCACTTTTCTACCAAAATCTCTAGCTAGTCCCAGTATTACTTGTCAGAATTCTATCCAGGTATCTGTATGTTATTTTTCTTAATTTTAGTTGCTACCCATTTAGTTAAATCTTAAAACATCTAAAAATGTCCTCCAAATAATGAAGTTTTCCCAATATAATCTAGGCATAAATTTTAAATTACAATAACATAATTTAATTGAATGGTTAAAAACTAAGCACAATGATAATAATTACAAAATAGTAAAAAAAAAAAACTCAAGTAGTTTTAGTAATCAAAATTGGCTCTAGGGATACAACCCAGAGCATCACACCAATGAGAAATGTTTTCTACCACCTAGCCACTTCCCTAATCCTTTCAGAGTAATTGTTAACTGGTCATTTTCACTACCTGGCCCTATTCCTATCAGTATAATGCCATATACTGCATTGAGGATATAGTATCGATTAAATTGAAACTATTTTATTCCCAAAGTATAAAGGAAACTTACTTTTCAGTGTGGAAGCTGATGTATATAAATTCATAGTCTAATTAAAAATTATATGATATTGTTTGAAAACTGAATTACTTTCACAATTTGCTAGATCTTACAGAAAGCAGGAGTGGTGAGAAGAGAAATTATGTTTATAAGTGCCATTTCTAAATCACGCATCGCTTTCTCATTCTGCATCTCCATTTCTTCTCTCTCTCTATCCACCCTTTCTATATCCCAACCATCTCCTGAGCCCCAGATGAACAATTCACCGCTTCTAACTCCCAGCCAATCCCTGAGCCCCTACGTAGAGATAAACTACCCACCCCTAGTTACTCCCAACCAATCCCCGAGCCCCTTCTAGAGATGAACTATCCACCCCTTCTATCTCCCAGCCAACCCCTGAGCCCCTTCGTAGAGATGAATAACCCACCCCTTCTATCTCCCAGCTATTTCCTTAACCACTTCCTAGAGATGAACTATAACAGTCAAAGAAAATTTTAAAATAACTGTTGTTTTGAATTTAAATTCAGAGGATATGGATATCAATATAGTATTTTCGCACTATTTTTTTGTAACTTGTGTAAATAGCATACAGGATTGGGGTTGTAGAATTTAAACTGGAAGATTGGCTTCCCCAGATCCCTGGATTATTTTATGTCAGAAAATTTTTATATTCACCTAGTTATATATTAACTGATTATCATTGATTCTTTAAGATAAATTTTTTACTTTAAAACTTCTGTTTTACAAAAATCTCTTATTTCCCAGACAATATTTTATAGACAAATATGTAAATAGCATTACCAATATGACATAACAATTTTTTGTATTATATTATTTATCTTTCTGCTCCCACTCTTCTCTAGGGTAATAACTAAAATCTGCATATTGACTTCTTGTTGAATCAAGGTTGCATTAGAGAAATAGTTATGTATGCCTGATGTGTAATATTAAATATCAGTTTAAATAAGAAATCGTGAGTAAGTCTGACTTTCTGTATAGTGTTTTACATTTGAGAATTCTATTTTAATGTAGTTCTTAGGTAATTAAATAATCACTCTTTTCTGGCCTTCCCTTCAGCTTTCCACACTAGCTTTTGTAAATGTTTTAGTGGAGAATTTAATGCTTGTACAGTCAATAGCGATTAAAAAATATATATATATAATATGTATATGGAAAACTTTAAATATGCTTTTAATTTATTTAATGATGGTTTCCTTCCTATAAAAGTGACAATTTTCATTCTTAGATGGTTAGAAAAAAAAAACTTTTTTACCATAGTTATTACATGCAAAATAAAATTTGATTCTTCAGTTCAATCCTTGAGCAGTTAACCTGTGAAAGACACTTCAGTACTAATGTCTGAGCTTTGTTGAATTTGTATCATCTTCTTCAATAATAGGAGCTTTTTATTATGCAAAATGAAAATAAAAATTGCTTAATTGAACATTACCCAATTCTTTTATATTTATCTTTGGAAAAGACTTTTTTTTTTCAAAACTTTTTCAACTGTGCTGCATTTGGAAACAGGTAATAATGCATGGAGACAGATCTGAATACTCTCAAGTTGCATAAATAGAACCTTATAACATATTATTGATGTAACATGGCTAATACTGTGGAACAGTATTGAAATTTATCCATAATATGAGAATTTGCATGTCTTCCAAACTTGAGAAACTCAACTTGAATAGTGTCTTTTTAAATTTTCTTTATTATTTGGTGGAGGTTGGGGAATTCTAATATCTTTTCTTTCACTGAAAATTCCATACTTCCTTCTTGGCAGTTTTTTCTGATATGCCTAACTCACTATTTTGACAATAACTTTATTCCATCAGTCATTGTTACCACATGCCGTCCATTTTTAGCAGAACAAGTATCTAACTTTAATTACTTTACTTGATGTATTTAGCCACTTTGGTCTAGGCTCTATCTTTTGCTTATAGAAAAGAATGACTGGAGGTTAATAAATAAAATATGCCTTTGTATCTTTGTACATGTAATCTATTTCTTTTAGATATATTCAAACTATAATAGTAAATGAAAGACATACAATTTTTGAATCTAGCACTATTACTTTAGAGATCATCTTGAGCAAATTAACTTCCCTGAGTCTCATTTATATCACCTATACAATGTGACAATAAATCTACTTACTAGTAGTTACTAACAATCACTCCCTATCCCATTCTCCTATTTTTAAAAATGATATGAAGATATATTGTACTTCGCATCTATTAGGTATCTGCTCATCATGCCTTCCTTTAAAAACTGGCCCCAACCAACAGGCACATGACAAAGGTGGACTTTTGGCAGGAGCTGATTATTTACCAATGTTGTAAATTACCGTAAAGCTAGGTAGTGGTGTCGGGTTGGTGAGAAGGTTGTCATCAACGAGGCATGTGAAACTTTAAAACTCAGTATTCAGAGACAAAGAGAGAGAATAAACTAGGCACTGATAAATCTTTTAGCCTTGTAGAGTAAGGAGCATAACTGCCATATTTCCTAACTATATTCCATTTTCAGCTTTACTTCTTCCTTTCCCTCTTCTCCTCCATGCTTCCTTTTCTTGGATTACATGAAATATCTATACAAAAATATCCATACAAAAAATATATCCATACAAGTGTTCACCCTTACTTAAGCAAATTTGATACTATATCTATATATTGCAACCAAGAGAATCTTGACTAAGATATAATCAACTTTGGTCATGGTCATATGAAAAATTACTGGAAACTTCTGTATCTGAAACTTCCATACAATTATGCAGAGAACGTAGACTTTTGGGGATAATAGTTTTGTGTTTGATTACAAACACTATTTGTTACTACCTGGGTAGTATGTGCCTTAGAGGAATATTGATCTGGTTATTATAACATCAGAGTGGCCAGTTCTGTGATTAATGAAGACATCCAGATGAGCCACTATTGTTATAGGGTACTTCAGTTCTCATGGCAATGGAGTACTTTGAAAAGTACTTTGAAATACTCTTTAGGATTGGGTATGTATCTGTTATGAGAAGTGATCAAGTTTAGAGTTGAAAATTATAACTTGAAGCGCAAATTCACATTACCCTGTCACTGTCACTGTCACTGTAACTGTCCTTCCACTGTTCATCATTTGCTCGAGCGGGCCCAGTAACATTGTGAGATTTGTTGGCACTGTGTTTGGCATATCGGATACTTCACGAGTAGCTTGCCAGGCTTTGCCGTGTGGGCAAGATACTCTCGGTAGCTTGCGGTGCCCTATGAGAGGGGCAGAGGAATCGAACTCGGGTCGACTGGGTCGGCCGTGTGCAAGGCAAAAGCCTTACCCGCTGTGCTATCGCTCCAGCCCACATTACCCTGTAAGTTATTTAATATCCATGGATTTCTCACACTGTGATCTCTCAATTGGTAAAGATGAACCTCAAATATAGAACAGCATTTCTCACCCCAGGGCCATATGACCAAGAATAGGGCCCCAGGATATTTCAAGGTCCTTCCAGGTGAAAATTTTGGAAGGGTGCATGTATGACATGAATGACATGAGACCAGTGCCATGGAAGGAATAGGCTGATAGCAGGATCTTGTGGACACAGGAAAAAAACAAGGTGAAAAGGATCTGCATTCAGAAAAAAGATTGAGAAACACTGATACAAAGCATCAATGTCTAAAATATTCACAGTCACAGAACTGGAGAATACCTATAATGTAGCTATTATCAAGTGAACACAGCCAGTAAAACTCAAATATACTGAAAATCAGAAAAGACACAGCAATGTATACATTTATGTTAATGGCATACAAAATGTAATAATTTTATTTTATTCATTCATTTCTCTTTACACACAAAGGTTGCTCTCCTAGTAAGAAAGTTTTTAACATTTTACTGGATTATAGTATTGTTTTTTTTTTTTCAGATATATTAGGTCTTACTCCATATTCCAGCCTTTGTGTAGCTAAACTGTTGGTGTATGTGTTTCCTTAAATTCCTTCTTCTCCTGATGGCACTAAATTTCTCTCAGGTAAAAAAGACCACTTATATTCTAAAATTCCTTCTTGCTCTGGATATCAAAGTGTATGATCCAAACATGCTTATTAAATCACAAGTCGTAGATATTTTAGTACAAGCACATCTTGTGCTAAAATAACCCCAGCAGTTGGGCTGTG